ATATATAATTATTATATGATTATTGTATAATTATTATATGATAAATATATTTAGCAAAATCAGAGGTTTCTGCAAAGATGTTATATACTGATCTTATGAATAAAATCACAGAACTGCCAAATTTATGCATCATTACTATTTCACTCATTTCTTGTTTTTCAAGTATTTTGATGTTTTTAGCTACAAAATCATGAATTTGTGATTTAAAAATTAGCCAAAGTAAATTTATTTGTTTGTATTTAATATGCAAATATTCTTTAAGATTGAACCCATGTTTTTGAAGTATTGTTAGTTATTAACTAGTCAACTTGTACAGTTTCAGTTTGTTTAACAACTGTTTGATAAGTATAATCAACTTGGATACAGAATACTTAATATACTAATATATTATTATTTTGATTATTAAATTGATTTGACTCCAATTCTTAAAGTTGTTCAATTTAACTATTAAGAGTAGAGTGTATATGGATCAATTTTTATATGATCTATGTATATATTGAATTTTTACATAGTAAACAAAAAAGTGCATCTAATAAAACTTTTCAATATCTTAACCAATTTGTTTCAAATTTATACAATATATAGTTGTTTATAATAATAAAGTTGTACAATATATGTTGTTTTAAAAAAAATTAACTTTACATATAACTAAAAATTTCTTTGAATACTATATGTTTTCTCCTAGTTATATAAGAATTATTAATTATGATTGGTTAAATTACATGTTGTTTATATGTAAATCATTCTTTCTTAGTATAATCATCAGAAAAAATACAGAAACATAACTTTGTGTAGCTTATATGTAACCTGAAACACAAATCTTCCATGATGGGTCAGAGAAACTTTTGCTATCATCATTATAATTATAGTGTCAATTTGCATAATATTGTAATAATATTGTATACTCTGATATTAATTTTGCATTAATTATATAGTAATAATAAAAAGTTTATTATATAGTTTTTATAGACAAATTTTTTTTTATTTTTTGCTTTTTTTAAAATAGAACCCATATTAACTTGTTATTGTAATAAATATAAAACCTTCAAATCTATTACAAAATTTGAAAACCAATTTTGAACTTGTAATGATTGTTACCAAAAACTTATTAAAAAATGAAAGATTGCTAAAATGAATAAAAATTATAAAGATTAGCCAGATCTTATCAATATAGATTACTTGGGTGATATTCTTATAGAGCTTCTAAAAGATACACAGAAAAATGGTTTAGAATTTTATTTCTGTTATAAGATAACTATTAATGATCATTGTTCAACAAAGAAAATTACAAGTGATATAGTTAAATTAATCAAAGAAATTGATAAATATTCATAGGTATACCATTACTAATATGAGGGTAAAAAATTAATTACATATTGGTATTTCTACTTTTTTTTTTTTTTTTTTTTTTTTTTTTTTTTTAT